AGAAGGAGAGAGAGGAGAGAGAGAGAGAGAGAGAAAGGCAGGGACGCCCTAGAGAGGCAAGTATGCGCGCGAAGAGAGACCTTCGTGTATACCTTGTGTCGTATACTCAGACTACCGAGTCACTCGCTTGCCGGATACACACAATGACGGAAGAGAGTAGCGTACCAGCAGTCGACGACGGCGTCGGCGGCGGCGCTCTGCAGTGCGTCGGCCCGCTGACCTTGACACTGACATTGACTGAGCAAGCGACTGGAAGAGAGAGAAGCAAATAAAAACAGGCAGAGCAGAAGACCGAAAGAAAGATGTATCGTTCGACGGTATATACGCGCGATTAGGCGAAACTAAACGTTGGATACGAAATCGTGTCCAACTACCCAGCAGTACAAGTACCGTTCGCTCTGCTTTCTTTGCTCCCTAGCTCTCCTCGGTTGACCGCATCAACGATCAACCGGGTAACGAGACTTCGTCGATCGTTTACGATGGGGTATTCCAGACCTCGAAACAGGTTTTCAGAGGTGCACAGGCCTGCTCCTCGTTGCACCTGTGCCCGGGACAAGGAGATCCAACGGGCCAACTTAGCAAGAGAGGGGATCGAACGATCTTTGGATTGGGGAGCGACGAGACGCGTGGAGGAATAGAGACAGAGGGGAGTAGGTGAAAGAAGGATGAAAAGAGTAGAAAAGACGATGGGAAAAGGAGAGAAGGGAACGGCGACGTCGAAGCTACGAACGAAAGGAAGAGAGAAAGAGGGAACTAGGCGAGACATCGAAGAAAAGGAGAACTGACTTTCGCTTTCTGTGCGCGACGCAGCCTAGCCGTGGAGCGTCGATCAATAGCGCCGCGACGGTTGCACACATACACACATGCATACACACATATATATATATATACATGCGTGCCTTTTACAAACCCTCTCTATCCCGACTGCTCGCGTGATCTGTCTCTCTTTTGCCCTATCTGTTCATCCGTGTCTGTATATTATCCCCTCCAACATTCACTATTCTGCACGAGGAGTCGCGTGTGTGAGGGTGGAATTATTGGGATCATGCTTCGTTGGCCAAGCAAGGGGCGCGAAGGAGAAACAGAGAGAGAATCAAGGACCTCGAGCTACCGATCAGCAACGCCCCACGTTCCCTCTCCTTCCTTCGGCCATGGTTGCACAGTTTCGTATGGCCCTCTCTCACCCTCTTTTTCTGCGGTCTCGCGCGCGCATTTGCCCGCTTATCGAGCAATACAGACAAAATCGGCACGAAGAAGGTGGAACGGACAGAGACAACGTGCAGAGAGACGGTACAGAACGCGAGCGCGTGTCGCGTAAAGGGCTTTTTACACCGCTCGAAATGTGGAACTCGTGTCGGCCACGCATTCAACGCATAAAGTCACTTTAACGCGTCATGTCGGAAATTGCCGCGCGAGTTTACGAGCTTGTAAAGAGTCCCCGGTACTTCCTAGAATACGTGCGATCCCCCGACTTACGAGGATATAGCCTGATTCCTCTTGGTTATTCGTGTCCGGCTTGCACGACTATAAATTTTCCTATGCCATCCTGGAAAAAATACTCGGTCCCTCTTTCTTTATATATATCTATCTTTCTCTCTTTCTTGTTGCCGCTGCAAGATACCGCGAACTTTATGTCAGACCTTTAATCTACCTTTATTAAGCGCGCTGTCTCCTCCATTTGTAAGGCACTTGCTCCCAGTCGTAAACCACGTGCTCGCAAAGATCTTAAACGCGTCTGATGTGTCTCGTGAAATCAATTAAGAGAAAATAAACCGGTGCACCGTAAACAAGTATTCCAACGAGTAGCTCGTTTGTTGCTATATTTAGCGGTAACGTTATAAATATACTTTTAACCAGTCTTCGTGCTTTTAAACGTAGTAACATTTTCATTCATGTCAATGGAAAAATATGTAGAAATTATATCTCGTATCAAGGATATCAAGATCAAAGTAAATATAATGTATTATATTCCAATATTATAATTATTAAATATTTATGAAATTATTGGTAAAGTAGATTTTTTAATTTTTTTTCATTATCTCTTAAATTACATAAAATATTTAAACTTACCTGGCTTACCGATGCAGCGAGATGTTTCAAACTATCCGCGTAATTTTTTAACACTGTGTCCGTCGTCATACAGCTCACTCGAAACTCGTAAAACATATCCAGTTTGTATACGCATCTCTGACAAATATTTTTGGGCAAAGCATCCTCTTTCGTTATCTGTAATAGATATAAACATTTTATTATAAAAAATTATATGCAATTTTTAGAGTATAGGAATAATATAGTTATGCAATAAACAATAAACATAATAAAATTTATTTAAAAATCGTTAAATATATCATAAATGGAAATATATTCTTTAGATTTTCTGGATTCATTGTGTTAAAATTTTTTTCTCATAGGAAATTGTTCGAAAATCTAAATTTTCGAAATATTATTTTTTATATATATAGAATTATAAAACTAAAAAATAACTTACATTTTCACTTTACACACTTTTCATCGTTTACTCCAATTTTTGAATACAACAAACTTTCACTTGAAGCAATTAAAACGTGTCGTAGAAGTTTTCTTTAAATTATCTTTAATTATTTATTTTTTATATCTTTTGCGTGTATATTTTTAAAAAAGCTTATAAATTTATAAAATTGAAATGATAAATTTAATAACAAATGATTATAAATACGGTAAAATTCTTCAAATGCAACGAGATAAACGACTTACCACAGCAGGAATGCAGGAACGTATTTTAAATAGTAATTGTCTTTGTTCGCCTTCTTTATCGAAGATTTGAAGTTGATGATTACTCTTTAGCGAGCATAATCTGCACAATTCAGCAAAATTGAAATCTTCGTTCATTGCCATTCTTACGATTCACGATTGAACACAAAATTGTTAGGTTATGCTATCTATGAGATTTATTTCCACACTTCTTCGACCCAGCGAAGATTATTGTAAATGTGACACAGAAACTACGATTCGCTAATGTACAACCGAATAAAAATCGCTCAAATATCCCTAAATGTTGAAAAACTACAAATTTTTAACAAAATTAAGGTAACGCCACCATTTCTTTCTCTCCGTTTCACTGTTGTCCAGCGTGCAGGATGCCTGACTCCACATTGTTCGACAATGAACCATCTGCTGGGTGGAGAAAATACTAACGAAGGGTTGTGCATGATGGTAAAACAGTTTGAAACATTTATTTTTTTGATATTATTATTTATTTTAATTCTTTTTTCTTTTTCTTTTAAATTAAAGTTTTCGAAATAAAATTAGTCATTGTCCAATATTTATTTATCTGCTCATTAATATGCAAAATGAATAATTAAATTATTTTGATAAGTATTTTTATTCAAATTATTATTTAAAAGAAATATAAAAATAATATAATATAATAATGATAAAAAATTATTATGATAACCCAAGAATATTGATTTTAGAGATTTCGTTTTATGACATAAAGATAAATCGTAACAAGTACATAATTGCATTGCTCATTATTTATTTATAACAAAAGTCAGAATCAGTAAGAAGTTATCACAATAAACATTCCTCTATAACATTTTATTGGATGAATTCATGCGAGAAACTAAATATTAGAAAAAAGTATGCAGTAATGGTCACAAGTACAATTTATTTTAATTAAACTTAATATATTGTATATTATAAAGAAAAAATTAGGATAAACAATGTGGTCCTATCATGTGTATGCAATTATTTGTCTTATTTTTGGTATATACGTGTTTACAACAAATATGTTCTCAGAGGGATTATTCAACATCAAATATAGCATACTTAAGGTAAAATATATTGTTAATAAAATGATTTAAATATATTACATTTATAATATTAATATTATTCAATTTTAATCTTTATATTGAAAACTAATTTATCAATATTGCTTTTATCATTTATCAATTTTACTTTGATTAAATCGAGGAATTTGCGATTATATTAATATTATTATAATATTCAAATTTATCAACTATTTTATTGTATTATATAAATATATTATGTAATGATAATATTTTATCGAATAAAATTACATTTTAATATGAAAATTTCAATTTTATATTCATATAATTAATTATATTAAAATATATTTGCATATATATAATTATAAAAGTAATATGAAAATTTTTTAGAGAAAAAATATTGATCGCAAATAAAAAATGATATGACAAAGATATAAATATTAATTTCAGAGATTTTATGCAATGTATAAATAATGTATATAATCGTATCAAATTTACATGATATGCTCGAATGTGTGAATAAAATTAGAATCGTAACAAAATTATCGAATTTCAGTACAAAACAAAAATGAAAAAAAAAAATATTTAAATGCATAATTAATAATTAAAAATATTATATTTTTTATTATTATAGGAAAACTATAATAATAAATTATAATAATAATATTATTCAAATAAGTAAAAATATAAATTTGTGGAATCAGAATATAAATTCAAATAAAATAATAATAATCATTAGTTAATAAAGAAGATATTACAAAATTATTGAATTGTATCATATAAATAGAATTATTTTTCTATAACACGTTGCAAATTAAAGCATAATTTTACAATATTAAAAATTTTACCAAAATGTACATTGATGAATAGTAATAATTATTTTTTGTTATAATAAAAATTTAATAATTATAAAACAAATATTCATAATTTCAATGTATTCCTATTTCGGATCTTTTATTATTTTTTCATCAATAACTTTAAATTTCATCAATTCATATAAAATAATGATTTTTAGAATTTACCACTCGTTAAAGGTAAAGACATGTACAATGCGTGGATATTACCTGTGTCTTTAATCTTTAAATGTTATTTCTTTAATGTTACGAATCCTGATGAAGTGATGCAAGGAGATAATCCAAATCTAGTTGAATATGGTCCATTCACTTATAGGTAAACAAAAAATTAATATTTTTTTTATTATTTTTTAAATACATCTCTTATCATTAATCAAATTTTTAAATTATTTAAAATATAAGTTTATGAATATTTTAAACATTTAGAGAAATATACGAAAAACAAATAGTGGATGTGGATGAAGAACTTGACGAAATTATTTATAATGTAAAGTCAACATTCACTTTCGACAAATATGCAAGTGTGAATATATCTAAACATGATACAGTTACTATATTAAATCCTGCATACATTGGAACTATATCGATGGCAAGTATAATTGGATAAGTTAAAAACTGTGTAAAAATCTTTTAGCATTTAAAACATCTTCAACTTTAATTTTTCGTTTTTTAAATACTAATTTTTAACAAAATGTACAATTTTAATTATTATTTTTCTTTTTTGTAGTTAACCAATTTACCTTCAAATTATATGGAAAAATTTGGTAATAATATACCGAAATTATTTCCAAATCGAAGCAGTATTTTTTTAAAAGCTAATCCTAAGGAAATACTTTTCGACGGAGTTAAACTTACGTGTAATGAAAGAAAATTCCCTGAATTGAGTACGATATGCAAAACACTGAAGGCAACTCGATCACCTGTCTTAAAACAAGGCGAAAAGGACGGTGTTTATTATCTCAGTGTCTTTCAAAGAGTAAAATCATATTTCTATTTTTCATAAAATTAATGTGTTTCTTGAAAAATTTCGTGAAATGAAATTTCGTCAACGATAAATATTAAATATTTTTTCAATTGTTATAATAAATATAATTAATAATGTAAAAAAAAAATACGAAATTCCTTACGATTTATATATATTTCGACGTCATCCATTCAAAATAAATAGATGTATAATTAATATTTTATTTTTCCATTTGACAGATTAATGGTACTATTCGAGGACGATTTTCTGTTAATAGAGGTGTTAATAATATAAGTGAATTAGGTAATATATCATCTTATAATGGGAAAAGAGTGCAAACAATATGGAGAACTGAAAAATGTAATACAGTAAGAGGATCTGACACAATTACTTGGCCACCATTGGTGAACCCATTGCCTATGGTTTTAACGTTTATACCAGATCTATGCAGGTAGGTAGATAATAATTAATTGCAAAATATTATTATCAAAAAATCTTTAAAGCAATCATTCGTTATCAAAATGTATTATTATCGATGATATATTCTTGAATATTAATTGCAAAATATAATTAAAATATCTAATTACATCTTTTATTTTGCATTTTTTTTTTGTTAATAATTATTTACGCGTATGATATTTTAATTATTATCCTAATTAATTATATTGTATGCTATTAAATATAATATATACAGGACTGTAGAAGCGGATTATGATAAGGAAGTTTCGATATACGGTTTAATCGGATCCCGATTCGTCATGAAAGAAAGAACATGGTTCATGAATAGATCGCAATGTTATTGTTTGGAAAGAAACAAAGTACCAAATTGTTTACCGCAGGGTTTAATCGATGTCTCAGATTGTCTGGTAATTATGAAATGTAACGTTACGAAAATGAAGAGATATCTGTTGTATACGTTCTAAAATTTAATGTGTTGCAGAAAGTACCGATAATCATGTCAGAACCTCATTTTTTACACGGTGATCCGCGACTCTTAATGTATGCACGTGGCTTAAATCCGGATGAAGATTTGCACGAGACATTTATCGTTATAGAACCATACACTGGGACACCTCTTTCTGGACAAAAGAAAATACAATTAAATTTGAAATTGGAAAGACAACCAGTCGATTTGCTTTCAAATATCAGCGAGGGATATTTTCCTCTTATGTGGTGCGCAAACGTAAGAATCTTTTCGAAAATAATCATATTTCGACATTAACACGTCATAAGATATGATACGAGAAGGAGATATTTATATCAATGGTTAATGACGATCAATTTTATAACACGTTACAATTAATTTAATTCAAGTATTTTATTCTTTTTCTTAAAATAAAAAACCTTGATCTTTTGTCGTCGTAAAATTCTGCAAAATTTTAGCAAAACGATCGAGTATCGATTAATTTTTCATTGTTATTGAACAGAACCCTCTTGCGCGATTAATCTTACATAATTTACATTCTCGATAATTTCAAAAATTCGTAAATTTTTCATCGGTGCACAACAAATTTTCATACGTAACAACGTTTTGAAACGAAATGTATGAAGTAAATATAGAAAATAATAAATTATATAAAATTAAAATTGACAAAGTATCGTGCGAGAGAGTTCAGATGTCAATTTATGAGTACGATCTTTTGTTAAATCGCGATACATAAAAAACGCGCGCTACAATATGATCACAATCTTTCACGAACATCGAGAAACAAACTGAGATGACTAACAAATATTTTTTACAGGGAAACACGCCAGACTTATCGGTTATAATATTAACGTTTCAATTACTTCGCCTTATAAAACTCATCAAATTCCTAGACGTAATTCCTTTGATGATTGGAATTCACGTGACAATCATGACTATGCTTTACTGCAATTGCACAAAACGCAAACGACAATCAACAATTTCAATCGCAGATTCATTATTAATATCATCGAACTCGCAATCGAACAATGTATGGAGATCTACATAAATCGCGTGATTTCAATGATTTCAATGTTTGTTAATTAATAATGAATAATAGACGCAAATAGTAGAATGAAAAATTGAATGATATATATGCGCCCTCTTGCGCAATAATTTATGAAATTTCTAAAATTTATTTCGCAAAATTTCGTTTCTGTTAAGTTTTTTTTGTTGCATGAAAATTATTTACAGATATATTTATAGCTTATCACTTATAAAATTTTGCTAATAATATCAGTCTTATTGTTCAAGAGGGTTTTCACAACATTTTGTATCCATTGAATTATTCAAAACGTTAAAAATAATTTGGAAAATAATATTAAATTAAATGATGATGATCAAAAATTGTTTGCCGAGAAGAATATTCAATATATACATAGCTCTTATTTCTTATTTATTTTTAATTTTTTATCTCTAATCTTATCTCTAACTATTAATATTTAATATATGTACATATTTCTTATTCATATTATAAAAAATTTAGATAACAAAAGATCTGTAATAGCTTGAATTCAATATTTAGAAGGAAAAAGAAAAAAGAATATATTGATATTTGCAAAGAATAGATTTGATATTTGCAAGCAAAGTTTATCAGTGAGTGCACCATTTTTGCACAATTTAAAAATTTAAAAAAAAAGAACGATTGTATTTCTAATTTGAACTATTCACAATAAATACTTGATCACGATATCATAATAATTTTAATTGATTAATGATTTGGTTTAATCGATTTATCTATCCATCTGTCCTTCTTATTCGAATCTTTCTAATCATTCATCTCATTTCGATCAAGTTAATTACAGTATTTTACACAAATTCTTTAGTATAATGTAGAAATAAATACACAATGTACACGAAATTACACGAATACTGTTAAAAATAAATATTCTATGGCAATACGGATTACATTACATGATAAATTATATTACGATGAGTGTAAGTACAATGTACAAATATTCAACAGAATCTAGTCTTTTCAACACGTTCACTGCAGACAAAAATCTTTAATTAAAAATCATTAAAATTGTCAAATAATTTCCTTGCAAAGTCTTTTTTTTATGTTACATCGTAAAACTTTGCATCTAAATTTGATTCTCAATTTGTATCTTATTTTTTGAATCGATATCACACGCATATTGTTTTCAAACAAATTCGAGTTTACCAATAAGATATATATACAGCGTATACAGTGAACATATTAATACATTTATAAAAAAGTCTTTTTTTCCATATACGCGAATACATTATAAATAAACTTATTGATATAATTTGATTATATTTGTAATGGAGATCCAGGAACCGAATATTAACGCCAATAGAGAGAATATCACAAGTATACTATTTTTCCAAAATCTCCATTTGCCTCTGCCAAGATGGCCGTCCCAACAAGAAATTGTTTCAACGATGGCTGGAATCGTGACGCCGAGTATCGAGAAAAATATCGAACCGACCAAAGAGATGAACGGCTCGAGTTCCGGAACGAGTAATGCCACACAAACTGAAATAATAAGAGACGAATTTTTCGAAAATGTACAACAAAAGATTCCTGTCGTTCTTCTACGAATTTTAATAATAATAAAAAAAAAAAAAATTAAAGATCGGAGATCAAAGTGTGATTGTGAACGAGTGCGTCTGATCTTATTAGTAAATCATTTTTTTATGATAAATAGAAGAGAATTATTATTACTTCCGCTATAAAGAGACATCACGTTGAAAAGTCAAAACACGAACGACGTGAATCACATTATATATGAACTTGATAGATTCTCAATGAAATGAGCACGAGTCATTGAACGATGCTCATGGTTAATAGTGAGTCATGCGGTTACAAAGCCAATGGGTATTCCACTGACCCGATCTGGGTGCATCTTCCCATTTCGACTCGCATTTCTCTCTTCCTTTGTTAGAAAAGTATCACGTGTGTCTGGTACACGTAAAGATCGATTTATATTGACAGATTTTAAGTTATCCGTGGATCGAACACATAGTTCTAATGTAACATCCATACATGTACAAAACGTTAGAATTACAAAGTGTTACAAACTGTTTTCTTCGAGCCAGATACACGAGAACTAATGATTTATGATGAAAACAAAATTTAGGGATTATAGTTAAAATGTTACAGTGAAAAGTATTTCACACATAAGAGAAAAGAAGAGATATACCGTGCATTTCGCATATCCTCGGTGATACGGTACACATTATATAATTTGAGAATGAAAGTAACTTACTTGTAAATATACATATACATATTCTCATTAATGTGTGGCACAGGCCTTGATACTTGTGACTACATTTCTCTTTCACAGCTTTCCATATGATATCCATCGGAACGAAAAGTTGTAATCCGTACGTGAATAAAACTGCCAGGGCGATGAGCAATTTTACCGCTTGTCCCAGTCTAATAAAATAAATACAACAGTGATAATATGGTATGATGTATAACAATTTTAAACAAATTTCATTCGCGATTCGTGTAATACGATAAAAAATACTTACATGTCCTCTGTTGGTATATTTGCCGTGATAGTCGCATTGATATTTTCCGTGTACTTCAAATATCCAAACACGCCTAGTATAGTGTACAAAGATACCACTATAGTCATCGTTATGTTAAGAACACTTGGACAACCAAGAAAGTGGTGAGGATTCCTCATACTGTTTTCGACAGGCATCACCTGCAAAAATGAATTTTTCTTAATTATCGAATTGAGGAAACAATCCAACAATATCAATCAAACATATCGTACTTACAACACCGATACCCTCGATGGCAAATAACACCGTAGCGAAGAACGAAGGCAATTGCTCGATAGAGGCGATTGGCTTCACATGCGACGGTATTTTGATGTCGTTGAAGATATAATACAGAGTCACGGCGAAACCAGTTATCATGGAAAGGTTGGCCACGATAGAGAACGGCACCATGAACTTTAAATTTCGCACTTGCCCCAGTAATAACACCGCAGGTATCAGTGTGAGTATGTACAAACGCATCGGTATGTCCATTCCAGTGTGGAAGTCCACCACCTAAATGTTATTGGAGGGAGAAAATAATTCAGAAATGTGAAAATTATTCGTGTATATGAAAAGGAAAAAGAAAAAAAATTTGGAATCGAAACGTTGGATGTTTTACCTGTTTAATCGAAGTCGATACGAAGACCACGTACACGCAAGCACCGCCTATGTATGTCGAGCATAATGCCGCATTTACGAATATTCGACTGAAATTAGCGAAAGGCCTGATGGTTTTTGGACCGCAAAGGAACGCAGCTTCCGCTGTCTCGGCATACGTCATCTTAGGTGTTTTCGTACGTTTGCACAGGATATGGGACGAGCGAACCAATATGTGGACGCAATGCGCGCATATTAAACCGATTATTATCGTCCCTATTCCGCCGAATATCACCCCGCCATTTTTGATCGCATTCGGCATGGCGAGGATTCCGGTACCGAGGGATGATTTTAACAGATGAGCCAGGGCACCAAAATCTCTGTAAGAAAAAATGTAAGATTTTCTTTTATGATCTTAATTCCGTTTCGAAGAAAAATTGAAAATCTATCTAAATGGAATGTAAGTTTTCTAATATCGTGTTTTGATCGTGTTAAATGGTGGAAACAAATTGTGGGATTGTTCGTTGAAAATTGACAGTTTACACCGTCTGACTTACTTAGATTATTATTCTAAGAGATAAATTTACGTAGATTATTACAAGAGATATAAAAGTGAAAATCTGTATAATATTAATTTCTCGTATTTTGTTTGTCTTAATAAGAAAAGCAAAATAAATAATAACTTACGAATTGGAATTTTTCTTGTCACGATTTTCGAAGGGATCGTATAATCCGTCCTTCTCGTTGTGTCCTTCAATTTCGATGGTGGCTATTTTCGTTCTGATGACACACAAAAATAGAATATATTTTTTATTAAATTATGAAAAATATTTTATGATTTTCAAACTGAGAGTTTCAATATTACTTGTTGCTTATCTTTTATTAGAAAAATTAAAATAAATTAGTATTAATTAATAAATTCAACAGAAATTTTCTATCAACTTCTTTAATCGTTGTCTAATAATAGAAAAATTTAGAAATTTTAATTTCATAATTCGCTAAAATAAATTTTCAAATAGCATATAAATTATATAAATATATATACCTGCTATTGAACTCTTTCATGGGATTGCCTAGTTCTTCCTTTTCATTTTTCTCCATGGTGTATCTAAAATCAAATACACATAAAATATAATATATTTTTCTCGATCGATCAAAAATTATTAGAAATGTATCAAGAATTAGCATCGTGTATACATACAATTACATAATAACAATGATTTGACATTTTATTTCAATTTGAAACGAAAATATTTGCGATTGTTATCTCTCTTCATTAATAACGAAATTCATCAAATCTTACAAAAAAAAAAAAAAAAACAATTTTCTGTCAAAATTCAATTATAACTAATTATCTTCATCCTCGATCATCTTATCTTCATACTTGATTGATTATCGTGAGATTGGATTATCGCACATTCAATTATTCGACATAAAACCATATCTGAATAAACGATCATAAAAATGATTAAATTCGCCGCATCTGTCTTCCACGTGACCAAATGTCGCTAAAATATCGATTTTTTAAAAAGACGATGACGATTTCATTGACAAAATCCACGATAATCTCGATAACGATGTTTGGAAACAAAAGTATTTCTTAAGATGGTCCTTATGTCATAAAGCTTATGAAATATCCATACGATCCATACATATCTCGTATCAGTAAAAATTTTCCGTACCGATATGAATCTTAATTTTATCAATAAAATTAATACAACAATTTGTAAAAATTTACTTTAAATCGATTACAAGTAGACGAGGAAAAAAAGATAAGAGAAGATGGAACAGCGAAGAAAGGAATTTAATATAATTTTATTTTGAAGAAAAATATGAATGAAAAATTTTTGCGGCGTTAAAAAATAATAATATTTTCTTACTATGATGATGACCTTAAACGCAATAAAAAAAAAAAAAAAGAAACGCAGTATTTTAAACAGCTTTTGTCTAATTATCCTCACTTTGAAAATTCAAAGTGCGTATTACCTATGAATAACCTGATCTATTAACGCCAACAATTAACAAGATAAAACGAAATACAAATACAATGATCGATTTTACGCTTTCTATCACAATGTTACATTTATTAGTTAGCAAAACGGTTATCAAAGTTATTACGAAAAGAATAATACATTTTTTTCTTATATATTTTCTTATATACTATACTTGTTCCGATAAAAACAAATTATAAACATTTATCGCAAAACAAAAAAACGAGAAAAAAATTGAAATGAATCACATGGTACTCGACACATGTTGCAACGCAATTATTCGACACAATATATAAACGTATTTTCATACCACTTCTCTATAATATTCGATATATATCTTTACTCTGATCAAGATTTGCAATCAGATTATCATCATTAGTGATTAAACAAAGTATTAAACAAAGTGATTAAACAAAGACGGGAAGTTCTTTGTCCACTATTATCGAGAATTATTGAGAGACGAGAAGGGAAGTGAAAAATTCTTGCAATTTTTATCTACCTGCTATCTATTTTTTTTGCCATTATTATAATTAAGTATCATCGTTGACAAGAATTAAAAATAGCGTGATTTAAATAATTATAGTATTTAAAATTTCTTAGAAAAAATTATCAAAATAATAATAGATTTTAATTGAATCAAATTGAATCAAAGATTGAAGAAAAACATTTCAAGATAATGGATTTCGCAACGCACGGATTTCTTTTTCCTCGATATTTATTTTTCCAGTGGTGTTAACGATGCAATTCGTTAAATTCATGAGATCAAAGGATCTATCAAGACAAGACTCGTGAACAATTTCTATGGTACACGAAACGTGGGACTTTCTAACATGGGGATGCAGGAAAGGCTCATGTAGCTAATAAATATTCTCATATAAATAAGGGGGGGATGAAAAGGAGTCACGAGTAAGCACAATGAGAGTTAAACGGAAATTATGCTCGACCGTGGTGTCGAGGTACGAATATGGTTAATCTAAGTAAGATCTAGGATATCTCGGATTGGAAATGCCGATATCTCAGGATAATGGGCGCACGAATTGTCGTGGCTGCTTTGCGCAAATTCACACGAGCGTGATTTACAAAAGGTCATACGAGAATTGATTTCCTTTTGTAGTTAAATGTTGCATAATATCCTATTCTATCCTATTTCTATTCTTGGAATTATTTCTTTTTAAAATTCTTATTAAAATTTTTTCTTTTATTACATTGTTATTACATTCTTCTAACATTTTTCATTACATTTGAATCGTTCGTCATTTAATAACGACGATCATAATAATATGATAATTTGTGAATTCGTAATTTTTAAATAATTGCTTGAAAAAGAAAAAAATTACGAATGGAAATAAAAAAAAAAATGACGATTTTTATCGTTTAAAATTAATTTTCCTTCTTTTTTTTTATTTTTTTTAATATTTAAGAAGATTTCAAAAAATAATGTTACTCTCGATCATTCCAACTTTATTTTATTCGATATTTAAGCAAAATATCTATTTATAACACGAAACAAGTGTGTTTCTGAGAAAAAATTCCTCGTATTTCTTTCTTTTCTTTTTTTTTTTTTTTTTGTCCAGCTCTTTCACAATGGCAAAATTGCAAAGCAGAAACTTTGTCTCGTGACGTTCGAACAGCAATTATCACACTTCGACTCATTCGAGTCAAACGAGGATTGAAATTAAATTCAGAATGAAATTTGTTAATTCACGGTATGGCAATAAAAGGAGAAAAATTGCATGTTATCGCGCGTGGATGTGTGTAATCGGGCAAACCTCAATTATTATAGCCGAGTTTCCGTGTGTTCCCACCTGTTAACCACATTCCACGATAAATCTATGTTTTAACATTCGGCCGACACAACGTTGCAATGATAGTCCATTTCCGGCAGGCACGCGACTCCGCAAGTTTCGAAGGAAATCCACCGAAGAAAATTGTATCTCCATAATCGATATGCAAAATTTTTTTCCATGATTTCACGCGCGTTTCGCGAGAATCGAAAATCGTTTTCTTAATTATTCCTATCCTCTGTAATTTTTCTCTCTCGTGATTCTTTTCCCACTATCCTTTTCAGATAAATAATTATTGAAAGAAAGAGTTTTGAGCTTTTCTTCGATATACTATATGTGTTAAAATATCCTAAAATGTAGTAAAATAAACAAATATTAATCAACAATAATGTATCGTCTTTTCTTGGAAAAGAGACATTTACAACTGTCTAGAGATTTTCAATATTTAACTCTAACGTACTTAGGCATTAAAATAGTCGTAAAACAGAAAGTTAATAAACGTCGAGTATTCTAACGAATGCAAGATATGTTTCTAAAATGGAAGAATTATTTACATACACGAAATATACTTTTTTTTTTCAATTTTTAAACAAGTTCTACATACCGATTATACCGATATTGAATCGTTTGACGTTTTAAAATATGTATATAAATAAAATAGCGATTATAGTTTTATAAATTCCATTTTTTTTTATCAAATGTTGGAATCATTCAATTTTGCACGGTTCATAATTTTCACACAGAATAAAAAAAAAATGCGAACGAATAATCTACAGTTTAAAAAAATCGCCATTGAATGATTAATGTTGCAAACGGCTCATTAACCTCAAGGCTTCTGCAATAAACACAATCGTAAATACTTATAAAGGATTATCTAAACTACATTTTCTATTGTAAAAATAAGCAAATGAAAAATGAACGTTTCCTATGACAAATGAATCGATGAATACTTAATCAAAAAGAAGAAAAGAGCGAAAAAAAAAAAAAAAGAATAAAAACTATCGTTATAACGTTTGCATATTTATATATAATAAATGTTTAAATATATTCAACGAGATGAGCCATTTATATTTCAAGTTTAGGAGATAAGAAATATATATATATATATATATAAAAGATTTTTCTATTTATATTCGAATAAAATTATTTGAACATTAAAATATCGATCGAAGAAAAATTGATACGTAAATTTCACAATTATACAATTGCAATATTTATATAAATTTTATATTTTGTCATTTAAAATAGTGTGGCATTATTGTCAACATTATTAAAGAAGAAAAAAAAAAACAAAAGCATTCGAAGAATTGTAAGAAATCAATTGCGAAAATTCGTTCGGGGAACATTTATGACTGTCTACGTTCCAATGTTTACATAACACGAATTTATGTCAAAAGAAAAAGATGAATACTTGGTTAAGAGTTCTTTTGTTTTTTTTTTTTTTTTTTAATTCACACGTTCGAACAAACATCGTCTTTGCAATCACAACATGCAGAATCATTCGACCAATTTCATGCGATTATAACCCCTCAAATATTAACGGACAAATATTAAAAAGAAACGATCCAGAGAAAAGGATTTTACAAAACCTGAAAAAAACCTAATAATTCTAAAATCTTTAAAATCTTTTTTGAATTCATTCAAACTTTTCGAACGTCAATCAAGGTGAATCTTATTAAAATTGTAAAACGTCATGTTTCCAAACAGGAGATGTTTCCAACTAATTCGAAATAATGATCAATAAAAACGTGTTCGATAATCGCGAAACGAATCTCGATCTCGTCAATCGTTGAAAGACCAATTTGTTACGTAAGTTACATTAACCATCAACTGGTTATAGCCGCTTCGATATCGCTTTAAATGATTTTTACGCGTTTGTTTATGCTATCGATATATAATAAATGTACTCACGTGTATATGTCTTCGATCCTTGATTTCAGAATTCCAGAATGAAAAATCTTTGACGACTGTTTTCCTGTTTTTCTTTTTCTTTAAACGATTCTCAATTCACATCCTCGAGCACATCGAATCGGTAGAAAGATCCTTCTCTCACCTTCTCTCCCTTCTCCTCCTTTTCGATTTTCGATTCGAAAGATTCTTATTCTTCGATCTATTATTTCGATCTCCTTCCCCTATCTTATTTTATCTATTTGAATGAACACCGGCAATGTGGCGGTAGATATGGCGCGATTTCGACTGTTATTCTCATTTGTTAAAATCTTGGTTACCGTCATGCGATATGATTTATCGATCAACGGCACAGAGCTAAGTAAATCCTCGCGGCTTAGATGCAATCGAAAGTGCTTCTGTTTCCACGATCGTATCTCCCGGTTGCCGTTGGCCAATTAGAGTTTACCTTATCACCGTGCTGATAATCGATAGGAGCCAGTCTCAGATTCGTACGAGCTCTGTCTATCGTACGCGCCGCGAAGGAAACTGTTCGAAACTTGGCGTGGAGAAGCAGCAAGTATAAGTTGTTCGGAGGATCGATGGAAATTTTTCGAAAAGAAACGTGCCGTGTGTCAAAACGGCGAATTAATAACAACTTTTTAGAAGCGAGAGCACGTTGTATACTTTGTCACTGCCAGCGAAATTCTTAAATACTTCAGAAAGAATTCTATATCCTTCTCCAATTTTTCCAGTTGGATAAATCTTTTTTCTCTCTTTCTCTCTTTAGAGAGAGATTTCGTTTGATTTCATCGAAGGATGATGACTTTGTCCACTTCTGCAATTGATTTTTCTCTAATTCTTTCGAATTGTCTACTTTTTGAAATTTTTCCCTTCTGATCCGGAGATTTTAATTTCCTCCAACCAAGAGAAGAGATTCTTTCGAATCTCTCACTATGGGAGAGTCTTTACGGTCCAAATTCAAAGTTCTTCCACTTTCAAAGAGACGGAGGAGAAAAAAAAAGTTTCTTGTCCCGAACTTTTGAAAAGCAAGCACGGAAAATCTTCCAATCGAAATCGATCGGTCCTATTCCCAAAAGGGATGGGGATCTTGTTCTCGGAGGAAGTGGAGGTTTGGACGGCAAAGAGGGAACGCGAAGCAAGGGAAATCCGCGCGTGTAACGGTGACAGGCGTCGTACACGACTGGCCAGGTTTTTTCGGCGTTACGCAGGTATATATACGAAGCAGGCTTGTGCATAGACGCGCGATCGCTCGTGTCCCGCTAGAATTGACGTCGCGAGTTGTGGGAGGGGAGATAGAGGCCGTCCTCCTAATGAGCTCTATGGGACGTGCTCGCGAAAACGCGTCGTCGTCTTCGTCGTCGCGCTACCACCGACTCGCTACGTCCTTAAAGCATCGCGACGATCGACACAGGACTACTGTGAAATTCATTCCGTGAGTGATCTCATACGATCCGCATTTCGTTCCCTTTCACCTTCCATCCGTCTTCCTCCGTTTCGATCCGTCCTCCTCGCTTCGACCAACGGCCAAACAATCCCTCCATCGATCGTCGTGTCGATGATCTCTCTCTCTTTCTCTCTCTTTCTTCTCTCTCTCTCTCTCTCTCTGCACTCTTTTTCCTTCGAAAGAGAACTCCACTCCGCGTAAGCTCGTCTCGACCTCCATTGTTCCAAGGTTTGGCAATGATGAATTGGCGAGAGAATTTTGAATTTTCGAAGGAGAGGATTTTGGAAGGAGGGTTGGAAAAGGGGATGAGACGATCGGGTGGATTCGCGAGAGAAGAAGTTGCTGTTCGTTCGTATGTGATTTTGACGTGGAGCGAAATGGAAAAGAAGGATCAGTTTTGGAATTAAGGAGAAAGGTTTGTGAGGGGAGATTTGGAAAAAAAAAAAAAAAAAAAAAAAAAAAAGGTAAATTTTAGAAGGAAATTTAAGAATTGTAACGGAATAATTTTTTTAAATTTGATAATTTTAGTTGAATAGTTATTTGTAAAAATATTCACAGCGTATAATTTCAGCGTGTACACGTAACAGATATTCATTCTTTCCGAGTGAGTAAGTGTATGTCGATTAATGTTTAAATTCTGAACAAGTGAATATAGTGAAATAGGTGGACGATTGTGTCACGATTAATAATAATTCCATGTAAAAGATATAATTTATCGTTTTTTTTTTTTTATATTAAGCTAAACGTGCGTTATCGTAAATTGTACCGTATAAACAAAGAAGAGGACAATGGAATTACATAAGAATTTAAGATAACGCTTTTTTGCACATCTATAATTTATTTATAAAATTTTGTTGTTTATTTTAATATAAAAAAAAAAAGAAAATATAAGAAGAATATCGAAACTATGAATTTTTTGACTCATTCATGACATTCGACAAAAAAAAACAAGACGATGTTTATTTTTTTACGATGTTCTAAAAAAAAATATAAAGGAATTTAAAGCCAAATATAATTTTTTTTTTTTTTTTCTTAAAAGAAAGTGTTAATTGACAAAATTGAAAAATCGACATACAATTTTCATAGAATGCGAAGATCAATCGTTTCAATAAAAATGATTAGCACAAATGCATTCGTATGACTATAATTGTTCGCGTAAATATTCAAATCTATAATATGAATATTAAATTATTCATGACTCGATAAAAACCGTGTGGGCTCCAAGCGTTTCGATTTATTATTTTTCCATGATCTACGGATCTTTTCCTCACGATGATGTAATTGACTTGATGTAAGTAGCTAAGCATAAATATCAATTCATATTCGTAAATAAAAAAGAATATTAATAAATATCGATATTATATTTTTATATACAAATGTATATTTATAATATAAATAACAATTGAAACAATATCTTATTTGTCTTATTGTTTGTTATATTATTCTTGCCTCAAGTATTTCTAACTTTTCTCGGTTACGTATTTTTTATTTGGATAAAATAATAAACAAAGGATTAAATCAATAAAATAACGATGAGTGAAATTTGCAATTAAATCGTATCGTAAGATTGTACACTTTTATATGTTGCAAAGTAATCTTGCAAATCGGTTTTGCACTTTCTTTGAATCCCTTTTCACAAATGCAGCAGAGAAAATTAGTGCCATTTTCATTAATTAACTTCAATAATCAGCATCCTTTCTCTTTCGCATCCTATTCATTTGTACTCTTTGATGATCGTTATTGCACTCTCGACTATTCCAAAACTCTACAAAATACAAATTGTAAATAATACTCGATCTGAAAAATTTTTTCTCCATTATTTTGTCCGTATTATTTTATATCGACCATTTATAAAAATTTCCAATCCACTCGACTGGAACATTATCTTGGACACACAGGAAAAAACACAGGAAATCAATGTTCCAGCGAACATGATTTCAGAATAATTTTCCATTGCTTAAACATTCATTAGACTTCTGGCGTGCAGATTAAATTGCAGATCAAACTTTTGGCATTTTATTTTTCGCACCTAAGTAAATAAGTAGTTGAAGTTTTTTTTGCAATAGTTTCGAAATAATTTGCATTCTCTGTTCGTTACACTTGAAACCATGACTAGATTGTTATCTTGGATACTTTGAAAGTAACATAAAATGGCTAAAATACTAATTATCGTATGATGAAATCGAGAAAACGTAAATATCTCGTGAATGAAATGTCATTTTTCGATTTTTCGTGTAATTGCACTTCAAACTTCATATCACTATACAAAAATTTAAATTATGGCATTTAAATTTCTGAGCTCGAACTTCGTTATTTTCATTGAAAATAATACTTCACTATCTGATCATGAAAAAAAAAAACTAATTTAAATAATGAGATTAAAAAAAAGCAATATTGCATAATAAATTACAATTATGTTAAATTGTGAGAATCGGCGTGTTTGATATCAAGCATAACATAACTAAAACTAATTATGAAATTTATAAATATACATTACAAATATCGTTACTTGCAAATTTTAATCGATTAATTAATCTCGATATAAGATTTCCTACGATATTCATGTAGATTACACAAAAATTCGAACGATCAACAAAAAATTCGTGAAGTACGTATTATAAGATTTAGATACTTACGAATAACACCATCCATATTATAAAAATAACAATGTTTTTTGCGAGAAGAAATCGAGTGGCAGTCTCCCATTTCGTCGCTGTTTCTATCACTATGGGGATCAATACTATAATCGTGGTCATGCTTAACGCTGCAAGAAATCCGAGTAGAGGCAACATTTGCGGAATTGCAATTGCCAATATTGCTGCGAATATATAACAAAAATATAATCTGATATTTTTAATAACGTATAATCAATTTTTCTGCTATTATTGTGAAACTGTATTTTTTCTTTTTTTGGAAATTGTTCTTTTTAATTTGACGATGTGTTAACACTGTTTCGATTATACATGTTTAGAATTTATGTCAAATTCGATTCTTTAAAAGGTGGTTAAAATAAAAAAAAATAAAAAAAAAATAAAAAAAGCGTTGTATAATTAATCAATTATGCTTACTCGTTACAGTTGCTCCAATTATACGGAAGATATTTTCATCATAATGTTCAGTTATTTTTCCAAATCTTTTTTGGATCTTGGGCAATATTATCGAGATTGGTACAAAATAAGCTATTCCAAACGAGAACGTAGCAGCCAGGGCAATGGTTATTTTTATTGTTTGCGTAAGTCTGGAATAATAAAAAAAATAAATTTTATTTACAAAATATGATGATTTATGTATATCGAGTATAAATTTAATTTTTTTAAATTCAAAATATTAAACGCAGACATAAATTCATCACTTAAATATGGAATATTGAATAAGTACAGATGTGTGTACAAAATGTTGGAATATTTTATTTTAGTTTAAAGAGTTGCATTTTGCATAGATAAAGTCGCAATAGATAAGATACATTCGAGTATGTTTAAACGCTTAAACCTTGAATACAAAAAAAAAAAAAAAGGAATGTTATAATTAATATTGCTATTTCATCGTTAACGAGAAATTATCAGTTTCTTAGAATAATTGAAACGTGATGATTACTAAAATAAGAAAATATTTAACAGAAAAATTTGTAAAAATATTTTATAAAAATAAAGAAATTATTTTAAAGAAAATATCAAAGTGTATAAAGAACAGTGATGATATTAATCGAAACTAGAAATTACAATATCCTTCAATATCATTTATTTTCTAGTACTTGACAAGTTATTATGTAAACAGGTATTCCACCATTTCAATAATTATATTAAACAACAATCTGAAGTATAACCAAAAAGTTATATATCATTATATAAAGTTATATATTTTCGAAACAGGATTGATGGATGCATTTTGAATGCCAGATGTTCAATATACAGAACAAATTCTTTATATATGTTTTACAAGATAACTTTGACAAAATCTTCCGCAAGAAGAAATAAATAAAAGGAAAATGATTTAATGTTGCATATCCAGGATGATTTATATATATATTTATAATAATTTTTTTGAATTTGAAAAATAATAAATTTTTAATTTTATACTAATAAATAAAAGATCAAGTAAATGTTAATACAAGAGTATTAACGTTTTAATAAATAAAATAAGTTTTCTGGAGTTAACCAATTTTTCTTCTAACGTACAACTCATATACCAATACGTAATTATCTAAACGGTTAATTTCGCAAAATTTTTCTGGAATAAATCCCTTCGAATCTTTGAAAAAATTACGAAAAAATTAAAAATAGAAATAGAAAATTTTCTTTTTTCTTCAAATACCACTGAAAATACCATGTTTCAGCGCATGCATACGTGTGTGTACAAATATCGAAGTGAGGATAGATAAGAAAGTATAAAAAATATCACGAAGTACGTGTAAATAGTGATACTAAGATTTTCGAGGACATGCATACGGCCTACATACCAGAAAAGATTGGATGAATTGATGAAGAATAAATCGATCCAATCTTTTCTTTTTCTATCAAGATCGAAAAGATTAAATGATTAAGAGATTGGCGATTTTTGAAGATATCTTTCGAATTTTTCCATTAATTTAAAAGACGAAATGAAAGCGTTTAATGGAAATAAAATGAGAGTAATTAGCGAGAAATAAGAAAAAGAATTATTTAAAAATTGGATGTGTTATTGTAATGATTAAAGAATGTAATTGATGATTACATATATTATCAAACATATATATTATCAAACAATTTGAAAGATTTTTATTCTTCTTGGAAAAATTGTATCTCTATTAATTTAATACCTTTCTTGATAAGAAATACTTAAATTTTATATTGATAACGCACAAAAATTTAATTTTATTTGATATTATTAAATTTTAATTAAAATTTTAATTATTTTTATTCGAATAAGAATGTTATCTTTTCTTAATATTTGATGTTAAAACATAAATGAACTTTTTATTAGAAAAGTTCATTATAAAAATAAATTTTCTAAATTTTTCTAACGATAAAAAAAATTTTAAGTTTAGATGATTAATCAATTCGACTGATAATATTACTCATTTTTTTTAAAAAAAAATTAATTGAAACACACCAAAGTCATCCTAGTATATACATGTATATCGTGATAATTTTCAGTGATCATGAAATGTTCTTGCTCTTCATATAATTTATTTCATTATTCAATTTCTTCAAAGGAATGTTAATCAAGAAGGAAAAGATATACGGCAGAAAAAATATCAATGATATTCCAAGAAAAATTCTTATTCTTACTTATGGAAAATTACTGTAAAAAAAAAAAATTCTTTTATACTTCTGCTAAAAAGAATGTATCGATAATCAATTTCCTTAACTCGTATCAATCGCGATGCGAATTCGAAAAATCATCATTTGACATCTAATCACTGAAAACAATGCATCATCATGTAATCCGAATTTCTATCAAAAAATACAAAGTCTCCAGCTATTCCTGTGTATTAATCTGTGTCTAGTCTACACTTGACCTTTCATTTCTCAGTCGATTACGATGCTCGAGAATTTGTGCATGATTTTGAATACACGTGATTGTATTAAAGGCAATATCGATAAGACATTTTACGTAGGCAATTTTTTCGTACTACATTTTGCGAAGTGGCGACTAGTTCGTTATCAGATTTTTTTTTTTCGCAAGTTTTCGTAAGTTTTCGTAAAGTTTAATTTCGTAATTGTTTCATCAAATCGTAAAATGATATTTCATGTTTTAATTAGGATAAGATAAAATTTGAATATAGAGATAGATGGAATTTTCGCATGAAAATATTTTCATTAAAAAATATAATGTGCAATGATATCCCAATAAGATATTATAAATATCTGAAAATATAATAATATTATATTCGTATAATATAATAATTTCATAAATATATTTTATTTGGTATTAATCGAAATAGCAAATAAATTTCAAAAATGTACAATAATTCAAATATGATTAAATGCACGAAACATTATATCTTCAAAAAAAAAAAAAAAAAAAGAAGAAAGAAAAAACTATAAATCATGTTTCATTTCATTCCATTCTCCACTATCTTTCATTAAACAAAGTCTGCGAATTTTTTAGCCGATATACGAAATCGATAATCTTAATTTGATAAAACTTCTAGTCTAGATTAATATTTACTATACCGAATCGTAAGTGATAATATTATTAATCAACATGATATCGCTTATCTGCTCATGTTTCTTTATAATAATTTACGACACAACTAATTATTCTTCGATCACTCAAATGTACTTATCGTACATTTTTCCTCAAGATTATTAACGATATAATCGATAAATCTTGTAATAAGAATTATTTTAAAATGAAGCGGAATCAAATTTTGCCAACTGACTGTAAAATTAAAAAAAAAAAAGAAAATTACGTTTCAAGATCTTAAATGATTTGCCTGGTACCGATTCCTTCGACTATGAAGATATCAACAGGTTGTTGCAATGATTAAACGCACCACCCACTTGAGGATGCAATATCGTGTTGCAAATAAAACGATCTGCATGCCACTTCCATCCTCAAAACATGTTCTTACGTGCCACTTTCTTATATGTATGAATTATGTATATTGTGTTTCATTCATGTACACACGTTGCTTATGATTATTTTACGGAGAAATTTAAATACGCCACTGCTTACGAAAAGATATTGATCTTTTAGGAAAATAATTTAAATATCTCGATAACATCTCAATAGCGGAATAAATGAAAAATGAACAATTAATCGAACAATAACGAGTAATGTAATTATATAACGTTAGTACGTAACGTGCACAATGTTTGTTTGATGAGATTAAAGCGTAAGTTGAAGGGGTTATAAATATTTATACAATATTTTGAGATTTTTCGTGGCAATGTTAAGAAATTACAGACATCTTCAAATTCTCGGGAGGACATTGATATTTCGATATACGTGAAAACATATAGATATATAGATAATATAAATTCCATTTCTGTATAATTTAGATTTTTCTCTATTCTTTTTCGCGAAAACAAATGCATCGTTTCAATGATATAATATTGACAATAGATAATACATATTTATCTTTACACTATGCGATAATACTGTGTATAAAAATTATTTTGGTAATTTGATTGAAACATTAGAAAAGCAAATAAATTTTTTCGTTTTCGGAATATATAATATTATTAAAATTTATAATATTATTAATATTATTAAAATAATTTAAATATAATTTTAATTTTTATTATATCATAATGATAATTTGAAAAGATTTTTTTTCGAGTCTAATTTATTTAAAAAAAATACAATGTGTGTTTTCAAATTCTTCATTGCAATTAATTTTCCTTCTTTTTCTTATTATAAAAAATAAGATTCAACTTCTTAGAGAGAATTGTATATATTTATCAAGTATGTAATCAAAGAATTATCTTAGTACATGTATAAGTACTTTCATCAAGTACATATATTCATATTATAGTACATATCAGTTTGGAATATTACAAGCAGCAAATGTATGTTCCGTATTGAAGAATTTTATTTGGATAACATTGTTTGCAATATTTCAGTGTAACGATAAAGATTTTGCTATCACTTAAATATAATACTTCTAAGTCTATTTTAATTATTTGCTATAATATATATATATGCAATAAACTGTATTTATTATTAAATTCTCTATATTCTATTAATTAAAAATTATTAAAAACTTAAAAAAAACTTTAATTAGATATTGCTTCTGTTTTTATTTCTATCGAATTGTAAATAAAAATAAAATATAAATGTCATGGAATTTAATCCTGAAACTTTAAACTTATTAATCACTATAAATCATTAATCAATAATCTATTGTACAATATTTCATTATGTTATTTTAATCCCATTTAGACATCAAAGTCTTTGAATAGATACAATAACTTGTCTACGATTAATTAATTAATGATAAAGAAAAAATTACTACGTCATATTATATTAATTTCATTGAGATTAGATAGTTTATTAAATTATATCAAAATTTTTTTCACTAAAGTATGGAAATAACTAGTTATACGTATTTGTTCTTAATATAAAGTAGTTAATCAACGTTAATCAACGTTAATTCATTATATATCTTTCATCATTACAAATATATTAACATAATTCACTTAAATACATCATCTCAAATATTTCTGATATAATTAAAATTTCATAAAAGATTGAATCAAAATAACACCGGTCTTAAATTTCACCAAATATAAAATTTTTCAAAAAGATAAAATTGATCTAATCTTTGCATAACTAAAATTGAAATAAAATAAAAAAAAAAGAATCCGTAAAACCTGTAAAAATGAAAAAAGAGACATCAACTCACGGTACGTCGACGGGTAGATTCTTGACTACAGTGTCGTAGACATCGTGCATGTATTTGTTGTAACCGAGGAATCCGAATGTCGTGTACAATAAGACATTAATCGATACATTGAGTATTAACATTCGTTGCAAGTTGTACGGAGTCCTCATCCTGTTCTCGAGCGGCATGGTCATGGTCACGTTGTGCAGAGCGTACAGGAATAAGTTGCAGAACGTAGGGATTGGTAGCAGTTGAGTGAAAGTTTCCAATCTGTTCGGATCAGGAAAATCCTCGATGAGATAATTCAAGGTGACGGCAATGCCTGTCAGTATGAATATGGAGCCGAGCATGGACAATGGCGCCAGATACTTGAAGCTTGGAAAACCAAATAAACAGATAAATGGATACATCCCAATTACGTAGAATCGAAGATTCAATTCGACTTCGGAGAAATATTCGATCATCTGGAAATTAATGGGATTGATCATTTCGTCATTTGTCGTGTGAGATAATTCTGATTAACATGTTCAACGCGAATGATCGGAATAGAAATCACAATAGGATTTCCTATGACGCATTATGAAACTTTTTCAAAAAAAAAAAAATGAATCGAAAAATAAAAAATCTTATCCAGGTATCCGATTTTTCTTTTGCATTCACGAGTTCAATAGAAATGTTGTCGCTTGTGCGAACAATCATTTCGAATTTATTTATATTTTTCGATGTTTTATAATCGGTACTTGTGTGTTATTAAAAAATTAATATAATTAATAAAAAAAATTAATAATCATCGAGGATTCGATTTTTTTTTTTTTTTACCGCATTGAACGTGTTAAACGTCTCGATGTAAAGACCCATTGAATTCGTATGTATCGATGACGAGTATTGTCTTGTATTATTGATATTAATTTATTGAAAGATGTTACGTGGCATATCCTGCATGTTACAGCTAAGATCCTGTATAAATAGTTGTCATGCGTGTACCATGTGTTTCTTATATAATTGACGTCATCCAATAAAAATGATAAATGACCTATTAAAAAATTAATGATGGCTATTAAAATTTACACGAATTGTTGATTCAATTCTGTCTCTGAGATAAATACATATGTTTTTTCACCTTTGTGAATATGTAACTTTTACATTTTTTACAATAAATTTATTTTTACATACAAGGATGAAAAAACGGGAAAGTCGAATCTTATTATCGTTATTATCGCATCTTTTCTGCGTAAAGTTAGTATATATATATATATTGGAGTACTGTTTTTTCTTTTTCTTTTTTGTTTTTTTTTTTGAGTACACATTTCAAATAACCCAATTCTTTTCAAGTGATTAATTCAAAGAATGCAATATGTGTAAATACAATTGATATAAAGAAACCATACGTCTCATAGCTGTCTTTGACATGAAAAGAATTTATGTCAAAGTCGTAACAGTACTTCAACAAACAGTTTTCAAGGTGTAAAGTATTTATCTTAAACAAGCTTTTGCATGGCGATAAGATTTAAATGCTAAAATTAGCGACATACAATTTCTTTAGGACAAATAATAAATAAAGAAATTAAACACGAATTTAAATGTTGAGTCTATTGAAATTCCATATATTATGCAGTAGGAAACCCGAGTATTCAAATTAAAATCATAGCATAAAGGCAAAACTTCTCTTTCATCGTTTCTCACATCACATTTCAGAGTGTGCACGATTTTAGAAATTTCAAATAGATTTTTTATGCATGATTTTCTATATTTTCTCATTTTAGCAAAGTGCCAATAAATAAAACGTGCTGCAGTTCGATACTCGAGGCAAATATATAATTTGTCTCACATCTTTTCCTCGATTATTCACAAGGAAGATGATGCACATGGAATTTCCACGTGTCTTTTAAAGATTATTAGTAAACTAATTAAAGGTACGTAGTTTAAAAATTTATAGAAACTCGCTGATTAATTATTATCTTCGTCACATGTACGAGGAATCTAATAAAATTCTCGAATACGTTTTTACGTAATGTTATAAAAATTATACAATATACAATTTTGATTTCTAAAGTGAAAGTTTCGTAAATCAATAAAAACGACTGAAATCGTAGGAATATTTTTTCGATATGCATCGACGAATCAATAGAAATGAGAAACAATAACGAAAAAGCAAGGTTGTATCCATTGAAGCAAGAAATTCTGTTTAAAAATTTTTCAATTTCAATCACTTCCTTTCTTAAATATTTTGTTTATTATCAAACAGGTGATATATTGTAAATTTTTTTAATTAATTAACTGTATAATATTGAATTTATAAATTCCAGCAATTTAATATATTGAAATTACAATTAACACATATATGTTAGTATTTTGTATTTAATAAAAAAAATCTATCTGCATAAAATACATGAAAAACTAGAGAACTTTCATAAATTCTATATAACTTGAAATATTTTCACTATAATTCACTTTAATAATATTACTCATGATTAAAATGATTAAAATAATTACAACATTCAAGAATTATCTCTTAATTAAAGATTAAATTTTTTAAAAACTTAGATAGTCGTAAATTAAACTAACACTAACTATATCAATCGATTAGATAGTCAACTACAAATTCAAGTACGATATTTCTTCGTAATTGAAAAATTAAATTAATCGGATGTAGTCTTAATTTGATGATCAAAAACTATAAAACTAAGAAAAAAAAAATCATTAAAATCGACATCGATTCGTCGATGATACGAAAAAATAATCTTTTGAGAATTGAGCCTTCGTAAATGAAAATCGTTGCTCACTTGCTGGAACAAAGTGGATGCATAAAGGATGGATATCGTGGTGCCCTGGAAATGTACGAAGCAAACGAACACATTAATCAAGACGCCGAACGTTCTCCCATATTTTTGAATCTTCGGTGGACCACTGAGAAACGAGACCTCCGCTGTTTTGGCGAAATCCAACATCGGTACGCGATTACGCCTGCACAATATCTGAGAGCATTGCACCTGCGTTCAGAGAACTCGTTTTCAGACGTACATTGCCTGTATCTAGCTATTGTACCGCGATTTTCACAATGGACTAAGCTTTGTAAACACGACACGGCCTTTCCTCTGAAGCAAAATATTTGAACATGAACGAATTTTTCGAGATTATAAACATGTTATTTACAATCTATATTTTCTGTAAAATTGGCAAATATTATTTCTGTTCGCGTAATATTTTTCGCGCGTGAGGATTAGACGAGTAACCTTGAATGTTAAAGAAGATTATCTATTTGAATATTTGAGTAAAATTTTTTGAAAATTTTGAATAAGATTTTTCTCTTAAATCGCGTTAATATCTCTCATCACTATCGAAATTATAGAATAAACATTTTAAATAATAATTCTATTCAAATGTTTTACAAAATTGATAATTTTGAAAATTAGAAAATAAATGATATGTAAAAAACGAAAATTATGGGTCATTCAAATATTTCTGAACTAAAAACAACTTCAATTTTATATGTTATTCGTATCAATGAAGTTTAAAATAAATTAAAAACATATATTGAATTTGAATTATATATTTAACATATTTTAAGATTGTAAATAACAATATATTTATACAGTAAATAACAATATACAGTTTATATCGGAGAATTTAAAATTGATTTTATGTAATAAGCATACGTGACGTATTTGTTTAATCATACTATAAATCAGATAGATAAAGATTCAAATTATTGCTCATTTCTTTAGTCATTCATTTATTTCATTTAAATATTAATTCTCCTCTTTATGTAATAATTTAAAAATATTAATATATACAAACATTTAATTCACTATTTGTTGAAAATTAATAAACAAAAAGATTTATAAGTAATTGTACTCTTCTACTTTTATTTTTTCTGTTATTTACTTACCAATGTATACATCGTGTGCATGTACAATATACCAATAAAAAAACCACAAAATATTGCCACGATGTAACCAGTTCGTCTATATCCATATGGCAAAAAAAATATACCGTTGCCCAAAGAAGATTTGAATAAATGCAGCATCGCAATGAAATCTCTGAAATATTTAATATTTTAAATTAAATATAGAAAGATATCAAATTTGATGGATTCAATAGAAAAGAAAACAAAATATTAAAAAACTAGTCTATAATATTCGTAATTATATCTACAAATTTTTTTATAAGAATTTAATTTTATCATTTTCTCAAATATAAAATTTTTCAAAGTATAAGTAAGTTCTTCATATTCTTTTCTCTAATACTACGAAAAGTACTAATTACAAAAATTGAATTTTTGAACTTTAGATCATTTTGAATGATCCAATTTAAAGATATCAAAATTAATTTTTCACCAATTATATCTACTATAAAAAAAATATATAATATAATATAATATAATTATATATAATATAATAATATAAAAAAAGAAATAATGAAAAATAGATTCCTACGATGTCACTGCTTCTGCACGATGCTTGATGGGATCGTACTCTTCTTCCTGATTCAGATCTTCCATACGTTTTACTTCTGTGTATCTGTCATTGACAAATAAACAAAGAGGGAAATAAAGAACGTTCCATAGCGAGTCGGGGTTAGCCTCACTTGTCGCGAGTTCCTTACAGAACTCTTACAAGGTCCTTCCCCTTCTTTTTCCTTCGATGAAATATCCGGAAGTTTCGTTCCCGGACTTCCAACGATGACACGCGAAGGCAGTTGAATTTCAATCGACGACCTCGTACACTGGCGGACAATAACTCAGTTCTGTCGTTTGACCCATCATCAATCTCTAAATTATTTTTATAAACGTGATAATACCATATATCGGTGTTAATGACGAATAGGAAAATAGAATTTATGATCCGTTGATAAGAAATCGATATTTTTATTATTGTTTGGACACGCAGAAAATGAATGTTTTTCAAAGTGTTTTCCTTTTTTTTTTTGACTTTTATTATATCATGAATTATCTATATCAGATAAATATTATATTTAAATTAATGTTAATCTTTAAATTTTCAAATGGATAAATATTTATCACAGAAATATAATTATTGTGTCCTTCGACGATAAATAGTAATTGACGATAGGTAGTAGATAAGGAAATAATTTTCTAAGGAATTCTTGTCTGCTGATAAATTAAGTTTCGATTTCCTTATAAACTAAATTAGCTGACAATTTATTTTTATTTTTGTAGATTTATATAATGCACTGAGGATTTGAATAAGACAAATCATTAAAATACAAACAATAGTCTTTCTTATCGTGAAAACAATGAAAGAGAATTGTCATAGATATAAAAAAAAGATTTTCATTATAATTCTTAAATTTCACAAATCAAATTCAAGAAAAATATAAACAATTATAGAATATATAATATATATAATATATAATATATAAGAATGAATATTTAATAACCTATAATAAAGTATAAATTTGAATAAATTTGCGATTAAATTATTAATTGACATATAAAATATAAATATATTTAATGCTATAAATTTTCGTTCGTTTACAACTATTACTTACCTAATTACTAGAAGAATTATATTTATTACTTATATAACTTAGACAAATATATTAAAAAAGCCAATAGATATGACTATAGTAAAATAAGATAATTATGTTTTAACAACATGAATTTAGTTAAAATTATTTTCTTGTAAAAGTATCGATAATATTTATACTGATAAATAATATGACGATAATGAGAATCCTTGAATGGAAATAAGCAACATTTCAGTAGTTCTAAATGCAACTAAAAAATCTAACCTAACTTTAATAAATTTTCTACATATAAATATATGAAATTTTAATTTGACAAATTAATAATAATACATTGTTAATTTAATGATAAAGTTATCGGATAAGTATCATTTAAATAATAAAATATTCAATTTCAAACATTCAATCAAAATATATAATTTCCAATTGTTGGGGACAATGGAAAATCACTTGCGCTATGTAATATCGTATTTATTAATCGGATCACATTATCGCAGATATCGTGTTACACAGATTCATCTGTACATTTAAACTAACTTTCTTTAAATAATTCACGATGCCGTAATTACGTATATACATATACAAATTGTGTCGGGTGTATGTCGATAATAAAACAATCGTTCTTAGTCATCGGTGGCCGCATGGTGGCGTGATGGCCAGTCAGAACCTGATGGTAAGTCTAGTGATCAAGTATAATACAACGACGATGAAAAATAATTATCATCGAGAAAAAAAGGAAGCTGCTAAAATCGACGCAGTCTACTCAACAATCTTTCTCGCTCTCATTTTCACAGTCGTTAATTAAAAGTATAAAAATAATAGCCTCCAGTCAGCACACTGTTACAGTCCGCCAACTGTACACACGCGAGTATGGAAAAATTGGTATCTGAGCATTTATCGTATTTTTCGTACTTTTCGCCTTCTTTTTTATTTTATTCGTACTTATTATTCATTTCTTATGCATTTGCATTTCGAGACACAAATACGGCGGCTAAAAAACGGAAACTTGTCTCTCAATTCACACACGGCATTTTAGTTTCATTCTTTCTCTCTTTCTCTCGCGCGGTCATTCACTCGTCTGCTCTCTTTCTATTCGCGTAAAAATAGTTAGGCACTAAAACAATAATATAATATAGTAAGTAAAGTTCGTCAGTCCTATGTGAGTTTCAGCTACAAAGTTAATCACATGTTTTTTTTTCTTTTAATCATTTTTTTTTCTCTTTTACTTCGTACAATATTCATTGTAACAATTAACATCACGCGTAGAATCACTATGATTAACAATGTCTTCGTGGTTGCTACTCCCTTTTTTCCTTCACTTTTATAAATAACGAAATAAATTGAAGCAAGGAACTGTGTGGTAGTGTCTCTTACCGAGCCATTAAACTCGAGTCATACAATCCGACTAATTCTAGGTCCGATGACCTATCAATCTAGCTCACAATAGCTAATATGTTTTTTTTTTTTTTTTTATTACTGAAAATGACACTCTCCTTTTTCACATTTTCATTCTTCTCTTTCTCAACACGCAATTGCTCTTTTTCTTCTCGATATGGATACGTGTTTAAGTGAGAATATATATTTGGGAATTTTGAAGATTCGAAGAATTCATAAGAATAAAGATATTTCGATATATTTCTATTTTGAAAAAAATAATAGAGAAATTGCTGGAGTTTTAGATTCTTGAGATTTATGATTTTATATTTATTTGATTTTCGTAGAATATTTTCTACTTTCTGTTTGTCAAAGAAGAATCCTTCGATTATTTTAAAAAATTTCCCAAATAACAAGCATTCATCAACGGTTGACAAATTTCTGGTCGACTCAAAAAAGAGTTCGATTTAAATTTTATAATCCATAATGTCTATGTTACGTGATAGTTGAGAGTATTGTCAGAGATACATTTTTCACGTAGTTTCGCCTGATATGTGTGCTTTTATATAATTTATTCGTACACTTGAACAGGCTTCTTTCTATCCTTCTTTTTTTTTTTTTAATTTTCTCCCTTCTAAAAATCCCTTCTAAAATTAAATAAAATTTCAAGAGACACATTTTTCAAAAATTTTCTCATAAATAATTTTTTCATATGAATATCTGTTGAATACATCGCAACAGGTTTCACACACATACAATAAATAAATTACATTAATCACAACGCAAGTTTAAATGAAAGGTACAAATGCTATATGGAATACGAGATTGTTGAATTTGCAGCATGGAATGTGCTAGTGATTGTAAAATCATTTTTGTATTTGATCTTTATTAATCTTTTCATGCACCTATAAGTGTGAAAAGTGTAGAAACTAGAACAAAAAAAAAAGAACAATTAATTTTTTATAATTTAATTATATCATTAATAAATTAATATAACGTTAAATAAAAAAAAAATGTTCTAATGTTCATTTAATTACATATTTGATTTATATTATTATATTATATATATTATTATATGTTATATCTTTATTTTTTTAATAGCAAAAGCTACTTTATTTCTTCAAAAATATTGTTTAAAATATCTGCCAAGTAAAATATTTTTAAATATATTTCAGAATGTTAAAAGAAAAAATATTTAGCATGAAGAGATTAAAAAAATTCGCTTCAGTGTAAACATAAAATATATAAATATAAAAGACGTTTTATAATTTTATGAAAGATAATTCGACAATAACAAGACAATTTTTGTATTAGTACATAGGGTACAGTCTTAAGTTAAAAAATACAAATTTAAAATGTATTGAAATTTACATTTTAAAAATTTCATCAATGATTAATTGGAAATAATAAAAAATATGTATCTTACCAAACTGGTATCAAGTAATTAAAAGTTTGTCGAACAAACTTATTCTTGAAGTTGGTTGTATAAATAATTTTTTTTATACGAAAAAATACATTTTATCGAACAATAAAAATCCAAATTTATTTTCATGAAAATATTTAACGTTTAAAAATATACTAACAAATAATGTTAAAATTATACAGTGAAAATTCATTCCTTTTTGTAATATTTGCTTTTCAAGAACAATCATATATTCTATTGAAAATGTAAGTTTTGCGTTAACTTATAGATATTAACAATTTTTTGTAAAATATTACATACATAATTCCATGTCGGTAAACAATGAAATGTGAATATGTAGCTATTGACCTATTAATTTTTGAGGACATAAAAATATTCCTAACTTTGGTTTCATTTTTACCAAAGTTCATAAGAAAATGCTTGTATCTTTTAAAATTATTTTATCTTACATTTTTCAACGATTTCATTTATAAGAAGATTTATAAAACAAAAAAAATAGATCGACAATAATGTTGATAGTCATTATTGCTCCCTTAAAGAATTATTGCAATAATTCTTCTTATAGAACGATAAATAGATATATTTGTCAAATAGTTAAAAAGTTATATTTTCAATAAATAAAAATTTTAGCTCGAAAATTATATACATCAATATATCTTTCATTCGACACTGCAAATGAACACACGTCGGTGTATCATATATGATTATCAATCTCTGCGTCTAAACATATACAATTTTACTATTGGAATTAAAAAAATTGATTAATTTTCTGTCAGTTGTAGAAAATACACAATATAATTCCATAATACTTGAAATGCTTGATTTGTAAACTCCAAGAAAAATTCACATGATAAAATGCATCTAAAATGCAAAACGTGAAAATGATTAATGTGAAATGATAATTGGCGCAATCAGCTATTATAAAAATATTTTGTTTCTATGATCATTGTTGTATACCGAAGAATCTTGATGTTTCAAACTCGCACAATTTGTAATATTATTTATTGTTAAAATAAAACTTTTAAAAGAATTTACACGGATTTTCTATGTAATTAGGTCATTAAGTCAAATGTTGAAAATGTTGTTGGTCATAAAAATTTAATAATAAAAATCGATATAAAATAAAAAGAAGGAAAAACAAATATATTATAAAATCGATATCGAATGCACTCACTCGAACATGATAATCCTAAAAAGTTTAAACTTTTTTCATCGTTGGATCGTATAATACTGAATGTAGTAGTATCTTTTAAATCTTCTCTAAAAAGAAATTGATCATATAACTGATCATAAAACTAAAAAAAAAAAAAAAAAATATTCGCATTTAATCTTCAATAGATTAATTTGACGATATTTTAAAACAGAAAAAATCTAGTTTCATTCGTATAAATATTTGAACGCTTTAGAAAATTTTCAGAAGATAAAAGCAACAAGCGACGAGAAGGAAACTATTAAATTCTCCTAACAATTTATACAAATATGAATATAGCATGAAAAAAAAACATGCACACTTCTTCTTCTTCTTCGCAACAATGTACAGCACAATCAGGAAGACTATTCTTAGGTTAAAATTAAAACGGATCGCAACGAAAGATCGATCATCTGTACTTTTATCTTCAATATCATTCTAATAAAAATGCTCGATTCAACGAGTCAACCCATCAAGATTCCTCGAGTATTTTGGCCGACAAACGACACATCCGCGATTCAGCTCTCGTTCGAGATCGGATGACACTCGAGAGAATCGCACTCAGCCAATGCTTCGCCACGTCGAAGCGAAAATTCGTCAGTTAACAGACTTTCCGGAAGCATGGCCGCCGAGTCTATGCTATCGAAATAACGGTGTGGCCAGACAGAGCTCTGACGGAAGCGTCTGGTCGGCGAGCCGATGATGAATTCCACTCTTGTAGTGCCAGTGACCGACGAGGTCTCTTGGTTCAAGGAGTCCGGATACAAGGAGGAATCGCTGTGCCGGAAGCTGCCGTTGGTCGAGCACCACGAACTCGGTGGTTCGGTGCAACTCTGAAAAATTTCGACAATCGTTACCAATTTTTCAACGTCAAACGATCTCGCGCTTATTCTTTCGAACGAGAACTCGCCGATTTGCACGTAGCTTGTATATATTTCAACCGCGTTTCAATTTTCCTCCAATTGGAAAAATACAACACAAAATGAGAAATCCACGCAATGATCAGTGCTCGTACAATCGAGTATCTCGGTACTTTACATGATACTAATGACGACTATGACGAAAGTGTCGCTAATTTATGAGAATATGCGATGTGCGTATGGGACAGAGACGCAACAACAAGTCTCTCCGTTGTGTTTTCTGAATATTCGAGGTCTGAATATCGAAAGTTACGTAAAAAAAAAAAAAAAAAAAGAACATTCGAACATTCGATCGCCGCTGCGAATATTCAGAAAAGGTGGACGCGTATAAAAATGGACGACATTGTAAATTAGTATTTAATTCGTAGTATCACGTAGCACTGGACGTGAGGTGGACAATGAACCGCAAGGCCAAGCAGGTAAGCGTGTGGTCGATTCATTTTCCTTTACATCAATCGTTATAAAAGTACGAATCCGAGCCACGTGAATGTGGCTCTCGAGGCTGTATAATAAATGTCCGCATACAAGCAACGCTAGCAAATAAGATCAAACTTGAGCAAATGAAAGAGCAAACAAACCGAAATGATTAATGGACAAAAATACAGAACAAAAAAAAAGGGGGGATCTTCGATAGCACGGCGTGAAAATTTACGGTAATATCGGTGGTTGGACGTGAGCGCTCGGACAAATTGCTCGTTTCTTTCTCGGATTCATGAACTGGAATGAACGCAATAATACGGCAATATGGTGGAATGGGAGATGGACAATCGAGGGGACAGTCGAGGAGTCAAATTATCCCCGACATTCGCTTTCCCGGTTAAAATTATAATATGTCGAATTTTGTGATTTATCGTTGCATTACAAATGTAACTAATGTAATTTAACCCTCGTTGATGGATGTTGAACCCTTGCTCGTTTTACGACCCATGCTGTATATACTTTAGACCGTATACCACGGATCGTTAACAATATCGGTAAAAGAAAAAAAAGAGGAAATAATATATTTGAAAAAAAATAATCTTGTTGGAGTTAATTGAAGTTCGATTGTTCGTGTCACAAAATTCGACAAAGCATTTTATATCGACTTGCATGCATTTTTTTCTTTCTTCGTTGCAAACACAAATAATAATACTATGGGATCAAAAAAAAAAAAAAGAAAAAAGGGGAAGAGATAAAAGAGAGACTCGATGATCAATATTGTATAGGGGAATATGTTTTCATTTGTGTAGTCAAATATTCAATTTGATAAAATAATATATACTCAAAGTATTGGAAATCGGGAGGAATCGAGATATCAAGTGACACGCTACAAAAATCTTTTCAGGAAAAATCGTCACGAATGTTTCGAAAATGAATATAAAATTGGCAACACAATTTGTCACTTTCACGATCCTCGATTACTCGAGTCCTCGAATGGAAATGCAATATGTTTTAAAATTATTAAGATCACGTGTCACAAACACTGCTACTTTTTCTTCACTGGAACGAAAAAAAAAAAAAAAACAAAACGAAAAAGAAAGGTAAGAGCAAACAATCGAGATGAACTCAGTTCGGTTCGAAATTTAGATGGAAATTAAGAGGGATGGCTGACTACGGGTGCGTGCGCATGCCAAGAACCAAAGTGAAAATAATAATGTAAAAAATGTAACAGAAGGAAAACTACAGATGCGTACTACTTTGACGAGTCGAGAGAAAAGTGTGGAAGATCAGGATATATATAATAAAAAAAAAAACAAAAAAAAACAAAAAATAACAGGCTCATAGCTCACCACATCCAGGAAGAAGCATCGAAGCAAATGATAATAAAAGAAGCATAACTTACGAGAAAAACCGGCGGCACGCGAGAAGGGGCCATTTTCTTTATTGGACCGCCGGGGACGGGCTCGAACGCACGCTCGCCTGCGCTCCAGATCAGACATTTCGGTAGTGGATCGTCGGGCGATTCGTCGTTTTTAAGACAAGTGTCGGTCGAGAGTCTCTGTGTACGTCAGAGTTTGAATAACGTTTTCAGGGAAATATATATGATGATCGAGTGTGTCGAGGGGATCGTGGTTAGATCGGAGAAAACTATTCCACATCTCGATATGATGGTTATCCAGCACGCTACGAGGTATCGGTTGCAAAGGAAGCAAGGAGCCGCGGCAGAGAACGAAGAGGGAAGAGATATAGAAACACAGAGAAGATAGGGAACGATTAAAGATCATAAGATGGCGTGACAAGTGTAACGCGTGGTGGGGGAAGTGGGGGAGATGGAAAATAGAAGAAACAGGACGAATGGAACGGTTAATGATTTTGATACGTAGATTCTGCTGGGATGGCGAAAAAGGCAGAGACAAGGAAACGGGGTGTAAAATTAATTAAACGGAGGGCAAGTATGAATGTGAGAGTGAGACTTATGTAACCGATAAGATCGAAAGAATCGAATCGATCGTAGCGAGCGTTTGTTTTGCTGTTGTTAACCGAGTTCACGGTTAGAGCACAAGTCAGCGTGTCGAGACGTGGGAGAAAAATTAGAAGGTCCGTAAGAGGCGTAAGAGGCGGAGACTCGGTTCGAGGTAGCCGCGATCGAAAGCAGCAGATATCCCTAAGATCGTGACTATTGGCCTTGGTCCTGGAGAAGAGGATACTCGTGGACGTTCTACTAGATCGGGCCGTTGGATAACGGTGACTTCAGCCAGCTGGTCCAAAAGTATTGCTTTACGGATCGTACCTTGCCGTTCTCGGTATCAACGGATGACGAGGCGCGGGCCAGGCTGTAGGAACGGCGTGCAGGAGCGGGCGGTCGTCGAGGAGGAGTCGTCCCCGGGGATGAGGACGTGCCGAGGTTGTTAGACTCCAGCGAGTCTCGGGCGCGGGACAGCGAGGAGGATTTGTTTAAGGAGTCTCGGCTGGAATTGTTACGCGGCAGGGACCTGTTCAGGGACTCCCTGTTCGTCTCCTTGCTGTTTCCGTTCCCGTTATTGCTTCCACCTCCGCTGCTGTTGCTACCACTCTTGGTCAGGCTTTTGTTCCCCAGGGAGTCACGATTCGAGTCACGAGCCTTGGACAACGACTTGCCACAGTGGCTGTCGCGACTAGAATCACGGGGAGGCCTCGTCAACGACTTCAACGACTCTTTGCTATCGTTCCTTCCGTGGCTAGGCGGTCTGGGCGCCGCCGCCTTCGCGGTGGCGCCGGGTAAAGGTATACGACTAGGACGACGCCGGGGCGAAGGTTTCACCTCGACGGCTTGGTGATGATCGCGAGCCGACTCCGTGCTGCTCCCCGGCTCCAAACCGTTCTGCTCGCACCTCGGCTGATCCCCGTCCGCGTCCGGATCAGCTTCCGTCGGCGGCCTTTGTTGCAGTCTCTCCAACACGCGCACGCGCGCCCGTGTACCTTCCAACTCGATGTTCCTCTCTTCCAACTGGAATATCGACGTGTCAGAATATTCCTAGTTACATATTCTCATTTATCATTCGAATATCGTTACCTGGAAACGTAGATCGTCGTTCTCTTCTCGTGCCTTGTCCAACCGTTCCGACAGAGTTTCCGTACTTTTTTCCACCTCGTCTAATCTCTTTTGTAGGACCTGTTTCAAAAATCCGATCGGTCAGATTATTTCCAGAATTACTTCCGGATCAATTATTATTATTTATGTGTGATATAAAAAGGGGAGGCGGAAATTTATCCCACCGACGACGATTTACCTGATTATGGACGGTAGTGGTGATCAAATGCCGCTGCAACTCGAGAGGCGAGTTTTCCCGGAGTATGGCAGCGATCTTCTTCGAATCGACGTCCTTAACGTGGGCGACTCTGGTAGGAGACACAAGGACGGAATCCAACGCACCCAGTCGTGCCCTCCTCTCGTTCACGCTCGCCTCGACGTCGATGTCGCGCAGCTCGTCGTTGCGTGCCGTCACATCGAGCAACACGTTCTTCTCGATGGTCCTGGTCCGGAAACGGTTCTTGTGGGCCTTCGTCGTCGTGGACGTGGCCACGGGTGCGAACGCCGAAGATTTGCTCTTGATATTGCCAACGTTGTTATTGCTCTTGGGCGTGGAGACAAGGGTGGGTGGTAACGCGGGTGTTATGGGTTGCAACCTCTGCGCACCTGGCACGCGTATGTCCGAGGAAGTCTCGGCCAGCCCGGCCCTCAGCCGATCCTCCAGCCCTGTTTTCAACGCGGACAACGCGGCCAACTCCGACTGCAACTCTTGCGCCCTGGCACGGCTGGATATCGTCTCCGCTTCCAGCTCCGCCACCTTGTCCAACAATTGCTCCTTCTCCCTCCTCAGAGCTATCACTTGGGAATCCTCCCCCTCATTACCCTCTTTGTCCCGCTCGCTCGACCCCGCCTTCTCGTCCTCTTCCAGACACGTGACCTTCCTCACAGCGTCGAGGATGTCGGTCGAACCGAGATCCTCGGACGCGACGCTCTCCAACCGACCCTGCAAACACTCCACCTCCTCCCTCAGCCTGATCCCTTTACGGTGGATCACGTCCAACAGGTTCCACAGCTCGTCCTCCGCCTCGTCCAGGACAGCGGGCCTGGGACTGTTCGGTCTGGGCGCTATCGCGGTCGAGGCGCTGTCCTTGGAGGACGTCTCGGTGCTGAACCCGGAATCCTGGACCGTGGCGCTGCAGTTGTTCTTGGTTCCACCGCTGTGCGAATTGCTGCGACTTCTCGGCAACGAGGAGGACTCGCCACCGCCGCCCCCGCCGCCGCCGCCGCCGCTGGACGGCTCGCGGGCAACTCGCCTCCTCACCTTGCCAGGCTCCCATTCGTTGATCCTTCTCGAGGACGGGCTCGACGACAGCGGTAGAGGGATGTGAGAGTTTTGGGTGCACGAGGACGACGTCATCACGGACGCTCCCGCGGACGCCGTCGCGGCCATCTTGTGGCGGAGATTGGGGAACGTCTCGATGACGAGGTCCCGGAACTCGAGGAGGGCGCCGACCTCATTCTGCAACTCCTGCAGGGCGAGCAACGATTTCGCCTGCTCGCTTATCAAGTAGTGAAACGGGCCTGGACGCAGGGGCATGCAATCCATGCCACCGCCTCCGCTGCTGTTACCGCTTACGCTCCCGACGATGCCCTCCGTCGACCCTCCGCCGCTGCCACACTGCGGGCATACAAACAAACCGATCGAAAAAGGTTAAACGTTCGCTCCTCGTCTCGTCTCGTCTCGTGATGCAACGCGATCCGACGAGCTTCGAGTCGAGCATCTATTCGTCTTCTCGTCTTTTCTTACTGCTACCATCTTCTCGTTTTCGAACAGTGATTTTGATTTCACGAATTTCGACATGAATCTATTTTGCACCTTCTTTTTCTCGCTATTTTTCATATAATTTTTCATAGAGATACATTTGCATAATTTAACGGATAAGCTTGAATATTTTATTCCTCTTTCTAAAAAAATTAATCTCTTTGGATATGGCGCGAGAAACGTATAGATCGTTGGAAAGAATGGTAAAGAATAGAAGTTTATCCAAGTTTCACATTTTATCGTGTTCGAGAGAATTAAATTTAACGAAATCTATCGTTAAACTGATCCATAACGCGTTGCGTGTTCTCATCTCATTTCATTGCGCAAATTACTAAACCGCACGATCCATGCGTTTCTAACTTTTCTAAACGATTAACATGTTACTCTTATTAAGGATACATCATTGGAAACGTGATCGTTCACTTTGATGAACATCGTTTGTAACGTAAATGGTGAAAATCCCAAGGAAGGTGTTAAGATTGTCGACTACTATGACGAGGACACGAAGGGGTACGAATCTGAAGTAACTGAACGAGGAGAAACGTCGACTTTCCTTGGGCGAATACGGGGATCGAGAGATGCAAAACGCGTGACAGGTGTTGTTGACGCGTGTTGGACGTGTTTCCCCTGTTTTAGCCGGTTGTCATCTCTTACGTGCCTCCGCAACGCGACACGTGAAATCGTCCCGGTAATCCGAGTAATTTATCGAATTCGAAAGTTCACAATTTCTATATCCTTCGATGTCATCTCTTCATTAAATGAATCCATCTTGGTTAAATGATGCCTTTGAAAAAAGAAGAAGAAGAAGAAGAAGAAGGAAAAAGGTGAAGATGAATTTGACAAGAATTGATGAGAAGGTCGAGAATATTATGACAGGATGTCTTCGTTAAGTTATTGTGATATTTGGCGAAGAGAGCAAATAGAAAATTAGAGGGAAATATGCGTGATAGTGGCTCGCTGCAAAGTGTTTGAATGCTATTTCCATTCATACAATGTGAAAATGCGACGCGAATGGAAGAGCTCGTATGTAGAACAACTCCCCAAACTTTCGAATAAAGTTTTGAATATTTCACATTTTTTTCAACGTTCTGTAACGTTTTACTCTATTCCGTATTCCGCTGCTGAGTTAGAAATTATATTATATTTAAAAAAGGGAACGGAAATTTCTCCGAAGCTATCATCGACGAATTAATTAATATTGTTCTGATTCACGCACTCTCTAAATACATTTTTTTTTTTCCTTTTCCCTACTTTTCACATGGCATGGAAAGCAGGCGATCAATTAAATTAGACAATGAGAGAGACCGCGAGATTTTAGTCAGTTTATTTCTTCCTTTTTTTTTTTTGTTTCCTTCGATTTCAATGTATTTACGCCATTTTTCAACAATTTTTTTCTTTTCTTTAATTAAATTCCGATGAAACGGCACAATACCCAGCATTTATATCCCTCGATCAACGCTTCCACGATTTCTACAATTTCGTTCTAATCGTACCATATTTCCGCAACAACCATTTTTTTTTTCTCTATCTCCCAGTGACACTCAAAAATATAGCAATGACGATTAGAATTTCAACGACTTAAGATTCAAAAATAAAACACACACATATATATAAATACGTGGTAACGTAATAACAAACAATAGAAAGAAAAAAAGAAAAAAAAATGAAGGAAAATCGCCAACTTTCCAATTCAACAATGCATCGATTCAATGCAACTTCCTTCTTCACAATCGAATGACATTTTGAATTAGCCGTTAATCGAGGCATACCTCGTGAAAGAGGATGACGCGAGTCCTCCTCGCGAGTTTTCCTCGAGCTACCGAAAAAGAGACGCGGCCGATCGCCACACGCGTTTCTTCTCTCCGTGTTTGTTCCCCGCAGAAATTATTACAAGAGGGCACTTTGACACAAAAGCCCCGTTTTCTCTTACTTTCCTGCTTCACCGCTTGACTAGCCGTGTCGTGCATCACGATGCCTCGAACATTGGCGGAAATACGCGGCACGCACCTCGCATTCGTTCTTTTAGAGAGTGCATAAAATAACGCGAAAAAAGAATTGTTTTAGTTGTCACGAGAGGCACGAACGTGATGCCTCGTAATTCGTAAAATGGAAATTTTTATAGATTTATTATTATTTTTTTCTTTTTGTACAATTGATATCTTCATTTTGATTCCAATCCATCGTGTACTTGATTTTAAAAGAAATATATATATATTATGTTTATTCTTATATGTTATTATTAAGAAAATTGGATTTGTCTTGTACGACGCATTATGTATCGTTCTAATATCGGATGAAAGAAGAATGTATCCATAAAAGATTGATTTATTCGTTACATCTACTCTGCTAAATCTAATTTAATAAAATTCGATTATTGGAAATAAATAATCTCTTAGAAAAACGGATTATTATATTAATCGGATCATCCAACGAGTGTTTATCCTCTCTCTCTCTCTCTCTCTCTCTCTGTGTACTACTAACTTAGTTCT